ATGGCAGAGTTTCTTATCATTTGCTTAAGAATGCTGAACTTGGTACCAGCAGATGGAGTAATGGTTATGTTGCTGGACTCTCATATAGTCAACCACAGTTAGAGTCCTGGACCCAGTGGCTTGAAACTCACGCTAAGCAGGGTTGTGTACATGCCCAAAATCCTGAGAAGAGAATGGAGGGGAAGACACTGCAGCATAGCTATCCCCCTGGGGGGTGATTTTTCACTTTCTGTCTTTCTCTGGCAAGCACATGTACCCCGTAGTAAAAATCTTAAAAAAAAAAAAAAAAAGTTTGTTTAACTTTGTTATTTATTATTATTATTGTTTAAATTTGGTATAGGGAATGTGTAGTCACCAGAGAGAGACAGAGACAGAGAAGGAGAGAGAAAGAAAGTGAGAAAACAAACCATCAGATCTGGAACTTGAACCTTGGTCTGCTATGTGCTACTCTAGTGCCTCAAGCATCATACCATCTGCTGCTCCCAAAATTCTTTATTATACCTAAGAAACTATATATAACCTGGTCTTTTCTGTCTCTTCTACCTCATATACTTCCACTCTTCATTCTTCTCTAACTACCTTGGCCTTCCTGTCCCAAAATGTCAATGAGATCCTATCGTGCAATTCAAAAATGGATGAATATAGAATGCTGAGAAAAGTGAACCAGACTTTGAAAGATACACACCGTATATTCCCACTCAATTTTTACTGGGTGTCTGCACTTTATGGCACAGGTTGAAAGATCTGAAGATGAGATGGTTGAGAGGATGAATATGGATGCTAGTGAGGGTAAGGGGGAAAAGTAGTTGGTAGAGAGTGAGTGGTAGATGGTGGGTGTGAGGAAAAAAAATTCAGAACAGAAATGCTTGCTTTCTTATGGGTGAGCCACTTGAGTTCCCAGTAGAGTCTAGATATCAATCCTGTATCTGAGCAATAATTTGCAGATATTTTTTTCCCATTCTGAGGGTTGTCTTTTTGCTCTAATTATGGTTTCCTTTGCTCTTTAGCTTGTTGTAATCCCACTTGTCTATTTCAGGGTCCATTGACTGTGCTTCACGGGTTTTATTTAATGAATCTTTGCCTATTCCAACGTCTTCAAAAATTTTCCTGTGTTTACTACTGGTAGTTTTCTGGTTAGAAGCTCTATATTTAAATCTTTGACCCATTTTGACTTAATTCTAGTTAATGATGAGGGTCCAGTTTTATTTTTCTGTAGGTGGATATCCAGTTCTTCCAACACCATTTACTAAACAGACTTTCATTTCTCCACTGCATTGTTTTATACCCTTTATCAAAGATCAGTTGACTATTTGATTTGGTGTTTATCTTTAGATCTTATATTGTCTTCTAGTCTGTGTATCTTTTTTCATTCAGTACCATGCTGTTTTAATTATCACTGCTTTGTAGTATATTTTATTTTATTTTTTTTAGAGGTTTTTGCTGTAGGGCTTGTGTGCTCGCCAGACAGACAGAGACAGACAGACAGAAAGCAAGAAATCACCCCCCAGGGAGGATGGCCATGCTGTTATCCTTCTCCTCCATTCTCCTCTCGGGATCTTGGGCAAGCACGCACATGCTCCTGGCGTGAGTTTTAAGCCACCGGGTCCAGGACTTGAACCACAGTTGACTATGTGGGAGTCCAGTGACATAGCCATTATGCTAACTGTTGGTCCTATGTAGTATATTTTAAAGTTGGGTAGTGACATGCTTCCTACTTTATTTTTTTGATACAGTATCGCCTTGGCAATATGAGGACAAATTTCTTAATTGTTTTTTCTATTTCTGTGAAGAATATCTTGGGTGATTGGATTGGAATTGCATTGAATATGTAAATTAATTTGGATAGCCCTGGCATTTTGATTATATTGATTCTTCCAATACAAGAGTACAGAATGACCATCTTTTTTTTTCTGCTTGCTTTAAGTCTTTAGACACACAGACACAAACTCACATATGTATACACATTTAATGTGGTCTCAGGAGAGAACAAAATTAGATGAGCATTATTTAATTGATTATTTTAATCTGGAAACCCTCAGGGATAAGTTATTTAAAACAAGACACCTAATCAGCTTAACACACTTATTTTAGTTGAATTAGATGTTGAAGGAGTTCCAGGAGTAGATGAGGAGTTGAATTGTGAAGTGGACATTGTTGTTTTTTGACTGCTTAGACCTATTCCTCTTTCCTATCCTCACCCACATTTACTTTGGAGGCATTAACTTTTATCAGTAGATATATTCTTCTCAGGAAGGTAATCCCCCCACTCATATCAAAACCGGAGAGAACAGATTATTTCTCTCCTTGCTTCAGTATAGCCATAGAGCAGACACTGACCTAAACTTAACTGGCTTAATACTGTATGTTTTATCTTTAAATTCTGGAATTAATTTTGCAAGGATGAAATAATGACAGGACATCAGTGACTGTGGCAGAGTCATGCTTATCAGACTGTTCCTGTTACCAGAACTTTTCTCATTTCCTTCAGCCGCTTCCATTTTCAAGCTTTGTTCTTGGTGGTAGGTCATGGAATCAGAAAGCTACCAATATCCTTCCAAGAAATTTCAGTAAAATGCAAGAAATGATTTTTGCTTAAGCCAGCCAGAATAAGCTTCTGTTATTTGAAGTAAATTATCCACATTAATACATACTAGACTATGACCTTCCAACTCTAAGACTCTGTAATGACGTTGTCTATTTATCTCACAGTGGGTGAAAAACTTACCTGATCTAAGTAACAAGGAATGTATATTTTTTAAAGACAGATTTTTTTACTATAGAGTGTGTGCATTCACCAGAGAAACAGAGACAGAGAGATAGAAAGTGAGAAATCACCTCCCGGGGGATGGTCACACTCAGTGTCTTCGCCTCTTGGGATTTTGGGCACAGATGCACATGTGCCCAACGTGAG